GTTTGGCCACGTCAAAGATATTCGTAACAAAAAGTGATTTTGCCAACCGGTTAAACCGGGAAGCTGAAATTTTACGAGGATATTCTGTGCCTGTCTGTAAGCGAATTATTTCAAATTGAGCTTTAAAGCACTGCCAAGTCTCACGTGCGCACAAATTAAAGTTCATCTTTCTGTAGAATGGGGTTACGGAGAAATGCATAATCGCATTGGCAAGCCGGGTGCGCTGCGCTTTTGTTTTTATGTTTGTGAATGCATATGTAAGTAGTGCATATACATCGAACATGGTGGGAAGGGGCTCTCCTCTCCATCCTCCGTCGCTCCCCCAGAAGCTCTACTCTTCCCCTCCCCCTCCCCTCCTCACCCCGTCGCCTCCTCTCCTCCTCAAGAAGTCCCTTCTGGATCCGTCTATGCGTGAGGTGTGCCGTCCAGAGCACTGATGTACCGATGCTTGATGAGGGTGAAAAGAGTTTCCCTCCTCATTCGTTATTACTCCTCCTGTTGCCTTTTTTTTTTTATGGCCCACACCGACTGCTTAGCGCCGTTTGTACCGTGAAAACTCAAATGCGAACATTCGCGCGTAGCCTTGTGGTTGGCTGAATGCCAAATGCCCTGTGGGTGTTCTGTGACGTCACTGTTCCACCATCATCGTTGCGGTGCGGCTCTTCCTGGACATCGTGGATTTGGAGGGAGATGTGCTTTAAGCCCTGGCGCAGTGGTGTCCTTTTCACAGTATTTGTTGGGTCATCGATTGTTGGGTCCACGCAAGGCATCGATGTGCATGTGGTGCCCGTTGGGTAGTGTGGACAGTCTGTGCTGGTTCGGTCCACATGGTCACTAGCTGAGGGATGCACGCAGGGTCAGCTGACGGGCAGTGAAGGCCACCGGTACCAGGGACATCGGGTCACTCCTGAGTGGTATTTCGAATCCCCGCAAAATCTGATCAGATCATACGGGTTTCAGACGCAAGTCCTTCCCCCTTGTCTCCTAATCCCCGTCCGTCCCTTCCCTTCCTCGTATCTATTACAGGATAAGATCCGCTACGCCATTGTGCCTATGATCTCACTGTGATTTATGCAAGATGGTAGTGCGTCCTACTCATATTGGCGGACCCAGGACGGACTTGTGGGAGG